ATTTGCAGATTAGTGGTAGTTTCAGATTGCTCACTTCTACATTTTTTTTTCATTACAAATCATGTCAATCATAAAAAATAGTTTCTAATTTTTCGATTCCTAATCAATAAATCCACTTTTGAATTTTATCTGTCTATATTGTATGTCTCCATTTTTACACCTCTTCATGTTCTCAGTTTATTTATATTCATTTTCATTGCAAATATCTTGGAAATATGTTGAAAAAGAAAAACTAGAAGAAAACAGCTGAATATTATTGTTGAAATAACTGTAAGAGTTAATTTATAATGTTGATTTAACTGCTGAATTTGTTCTGTACTTTAGGGGATTGTTTCATTACAGTAATAACAGAAAAGTCTGCAGCTTTAGATGGGAAATTATTCACTTTAAGTAATAAAAAGGACAATCAGGTAATTATGGATGTTTCTTCATCAAAAACATGAGGAGATGTGCATCGTAAACACCGACCATCTTGTTTTCCGTCTGGTTGTGAAATAAAACTCAGCAGCTTCACTTCAGTAGTTTTCTTCTTCTCCTCTCTGTCAGCAATTCATCACCGTTCTGGGTTTATGTGAAATTCCCCAGAGTCCTCCACTTGAGAGTTTAAATGGGAAGAACTGATCTGATTAATTTAGTTGATGCTTTTCTGCTCTCCTGCAGCCACTTGTCACTGCAGCTGCGTGCTGTTTGTTTAGAGCGTTTTCTTTATTTAACTGCTGCCAAACTCCTGGCACAATGAGAGCAGTGTGAATGAACCAAAACAGAAAAAGAGCCGACAGCCGAGCAACAAGGTGGAACTTCTGAACGTCTGACACCGCGCGGAGCTGCTGCTTCTCGTCTTCATTCTTCGCAGGTTTCCTGCCCTCACTGACCCGCTTCACACTATCCTTCAAAAACATAATGCTCGCTGTCACCGTAAAGCCGCCGTCGGGTTTAGTAGAATAAAGCTCGCTCATAGGCTTAATCTCTGCTCTGCTGCAAGAGTTTAACACCGTAAAAAACAAGCTGCTCACACTGCAAAAACACAAAGGCTCAACAAATGTTTGTTAGTTTTCTAGTGCAAATATCTCAGTACAAAACTAACTTAGAAGTAACATTTCAGCAAAATATTGGAGCTTGTTTTAAGTCATTAGTCTTTAATATTGATGAAAAAGGAACATGGTAAAACCGTTTTGTTATAAGTACTAGTAATATTAATAGTACTTTTTCATCAATATTCACTTGAAGCTGCAGTATGTAACTTAAAAATATACTTTTTTACATGTTTATTGAAACTGAGACATAATCTGTTAACAAATCGAGCTCCCAGGGCTTCCAGTACTAACTAGAAACAACCAATCACAGCTAGGAGACGGGTCTTAGCGCTATCAATCATCCTCCTTGTGGTGCTGCTCATCCCCCCTTACATCCTGATACGCTGCAGCTGCTAAGGCTAGTTAGCATAGCTACTGATGATGGTGGATAAACAGTTTTCCCGTACCATTAAGATGTTGAACACATTTAGCAGCAAGTACATGAGTTTGATTAGCAGCGCTAAGACCCTCCTGCTGGCTCTGATTTGTTGTGCATTTCTTCATACGGCAGTAACAGCTCAAGGAGGAGGTGGAGGAGATGGAGGAGGTGGAGGAGATCGATCTTTTCACAGATTATCTCATACAACAGTTTCAACCAAAAAAAAACACAAAAATGTAATGTCTGAAATCTTCCAAAAAGTTACTTGTCAGTTATTTTTGTCTTATTTTAAGTGTACTAAGTTATTTGCAATGGAAACTAAACTAAAATATGTGAAAATATTTTGTGTTTTTGCAGTTCAGGCGTACAGATTTATTCATGTAACTGAATCAGGTGCTGCTGCAGATTAACGTCTGACCAATATGGACAAGCCAATCATGTTTTATAAGAGCCATCTGAAGAAGGCAAGTGTGTGACCACACACACACACACCCGCACCCCCACGCACACACACACACACACAGAGGCAATAAATGTCACTGATTGCTGGTGGGGTAATGGGCAGGTTGAGAGTCTCTTCAGTCAAGTGATGACTGCGGACTGATCCGCAGGATTTATGGAAATCTGCTGGGAGTTTGTGAGTCAAGCTAATGAATCAACTGGGTCAGAACCCATTGTCCAGTTTTATGGTCCAAAAGATGGATGAGGACGGAAGGTCACAGGTCAGAGGTTCAGTCAATTCAGACCTTTTTTCATTGGCTCTTTTTTGGCAGATTGATAGTTACAGCCAGTAAGAGTTGAGCTGTTTTTCCATCCATTTAGGATCATGCAGGGATTATTGCATATCACCAAAGGTCGTTGGATGATTGGTGGAGAGGTCACCAGTGTCTTTTAAGCGCTTTATTTTAGTTACCACTTTATAAGCCATAAATTAGTGTAAGAACAGATTGCATAGAGTCAATGACTCGGATTACTTCCTGCAGGAATGAATCACAGTAAAACAGAAGACCAGAACAAATGTGGCTCCTATGGAGAGAAAAATAACTGAAAACAAAAAATTACAGCAAATGATGGAGAGTAGTAGAAGAAGAAAGTGAGCTAATTATCTATGTCAAAAAATAAAAATAAAGTACCACTTTGCATCTTATATTTTCGGTTTAATTCAGATTATACAATGGGGTAAGCTGTCTTTTTCTTCACAAACTCATTTAAATCCCATTTAATACTAAAATCATTTGAGAAAAAGTCAAAAGATCAGTAAAGTTAAAATGAAGTGAAAGTGGTTTTAGTTCAGATGGTTTAGTGGTTCTCCTCAGTTAGATGATTTGATCTGGTTGAAATATATCTGGAAAGATGCTCAAGCTTTGGGTAAAAGTGCCTGCAAAATCATAACATCAATATATTTGGCTGAAATTTCTAGCAAAGGTAACATCTGATTAATGCGATTAAACATTCAACATCAAATTGGATCGAATCTAACATTTAACTTAATTAATTTGATATATTCTGTATTTTTGGTCTATTTAGAAACTGCATTTATATGAATAAACATAATTTAGATGACTGCAATGGAAGCTGAAAGCAGAGCCGGTTAAAGAGCTGAGTAGACAGAGGAACATGGCGACTGAATGGAGTGTCAACACTGCTTGGGCAGCAGATTATTTGCAGAGCTACAGATTCCCGGCTGCCTTGTTGGTCCTCCTGCTTGTCTGTCACTCCGAGTGTTTCTGTGTTTCTATGCGTTTGCACATATGAACATGAGATGCTGTAAGTTTCAGTCAGTTGACCAAGTCTATATGTGCCTCTGGGCATGTCTGCGTGGTGCAGGATGGAGACTTTGTCACATTTGCAGCTGAGTGTAGGTGACAGTATATGTATCTGTGGTGGAGCACAAACTGACCGGTTATTTTTACTCCTCCATTTAAAATCTGCTTGCAGATGCAGAAGTGCAGGATGTTCCTGTCATCGCGTTTTCCCGCAGTTTTAACTCTCCTCTTCAACTCGTCTCTCCTCCTGCTTTCCGCTCCTTTCCCCTCCCTGTCAGGCAGAGCTACATGTCACGATGATGGAGATGATCCAAACATATGCATGCCTGCACATATTTTGGCCTGAACGTTTGTATCTGCCAATGTGTGTCATTTCTTAACCTGTCAGTTAATTGATATGTCAAATTTCTATCTTCTTCACATTTACTTTTGCTGGGATTAGCAATATTCTGTTTGTTCAGTCTCATGTCAGCTATGTTTTGTTATGTTTTGTTTTGTTTTTGTGCTGTAAAAATGGTGGGTTAGTTAGTTGTGCCAACACCAAAGCACTAATCATAAACACACGTTCTGCTGATGCTAACACTACGCCAACACGGTAATGCTAATGCTAACTTCAATTCAAATTGTATCTGCCTTTGAAAACCTGCACTATAATTTATATGGTAATATAACATACTATATAATAATATAATAAGCCTTTAGATGTTGAATTTATGTTTGTACATCAAGGGTGTCCACATTTTTGATCACAGGGGCCAAAATTGAGTCAAAAGTAGTGAAAAAAAAGTCAAATCTTTTCTGTTTGTTTTCTTCTTTTGAAATGAATATTTATTGTAGTTCCAAAATTTGAAAGGGATTTAGTAATACATTTAATAATAGTAATTAAAAAAGTACATTTCCACCAAAAAACTCTTTCTAGATAATAACCAGATTTCTGCTCTTTTTTTATCTACAATGGCCAAACTACGCCTCCATGAATTAGTAAAGCATCTAGATTTTAGTTTATTTTGCAAAACAAAAATAATTTTCAGTTACAAAAACAGGACTTGGTGAACTTTCTTTCAAAACATTTACTGTATTTAGCCAGGTTTGAATAAAAGCTGATTTGGGTTAGTTATACAGAGACAAACACTTTGTGTTTTACATTTTCCTTTGTAAGAAAATTACAAATTAAGAGTCTGCATCAGCAACTTCCATTTGTATCATCTTTAAATTGCAGTGCAGAGCCACACCAAATCAGTACAAGGACCACAAATAACCCCTGGGCCACATTTTGGACACCCATATTTCTTCTGTCCATGTTTTATTTTGTTCCTGTATTTCTAGAAAGCACTGACTCTTCTCAGCAACGCTTTGCAGCTACATAATGACCCGTGGCTTTGGAAAAGCTACTTTTATCTACATTTACCTGATGGCACACTTAAAGCAAAAATATCTGTGCACATTACAAAGTCCCGGAAGAGAAGAGTATTGCTGCTAGGAGTCGTCTGCAACCAGTCCTGATTTGTCTCATGAATAAAATTTGTGAACAAATTTGAAACAAGAGCTACAACAGCATAAAAGCTGTTGAAAATGTTAATATCTTGGTTTCATCAATGCCAGAAAGTGTTTAAAGTGTCATAAGAAGGAAAAGGTGTGTTGCAAAGTGACATCAGTTCTACTATAATTGTTTTCATTGGAATATGTTGCATGTTTTCCATTTTTGACTCACCAAACTGGATTTGAAAGGGTTGACCAACCTTTTATTTCGAACCCTTTCAAACTTGTGTCTCTCATCTTCAGGTATGTCCACGCCCTGTACCTGGGCGCCCAGAGCCGGTGGCACAGGAACGGGCCCCGCCGTCACTTCCACTGGAGGTTGATGTTCGAGAGCGCCGACATCACCATGCTGCGCCTGCTGGAGGCCTTCCTGAAGTCTGCGCCGCAGCTCGTGCTGCAGCTGAGCATCATGATTCACGGGAACGGCGTGCTGCCGCTCCAAGGTCAGAGAGACGCCACAACTCCTTCATACGCAATGTTTCATGGAAAGATTTTTTAATCAGAGGATATATTCTGTAAATATCTAGTTTAGGAAACTCTGATTCAGTTTAAATCTGTCTTTTGACTTTCTTTGCTCTATTGTTGCCAGTAAAGCTTCTCCAGGAATATGCTCAGTATTTTACGCTGCTCATAATCTATAATCTATAATCTATGGCCTTTTAAAGCAGTGATATGACCAAGTAGCTATTTATAAGGTAAAATAGCAGAATGTTTTTTAAATAGTAGATATTAGTAAAAACAGGAAGAGATCATTTGTCAAGCAACACCTCAATATTTAAAAAAAATCAAACAAATTTGGTGTCAATGAACATTGTTACAAGTACTATAGCTGCACAAACCAATGCGAACTTTGCACAATTAATATACGTTAATTTTGTTTGATTTTGTTAATGATATCTGGGAAACTCTTTTTTAAATCTTAGAAACTATAACGGCCAAAAGGTAAATGTACATCCAGGTGTAACAGCAGCAAAATGAAAGGCAATCAAGGCGTGTTGGTCCACACAAAGATAAAAGTATAAAAATAAACACATGAACATATTATCAGGACTAAAACACACAAACATGAAACTACTGTTCGAATAATGTTTGACCCTGGAATTGTTTCCCAAAATGCTTCGATCCATGAGAACACGGAGGCTAAACATCAAAAAAACTCTTGCAGATTCATGCAATCTCTCTTCCATGTGAGAGCGGTCGACGTTTTGGTTAAGGTTAGCGTTAGCAACAGACCGGTAATGTGAAGGGTGAGGCATGGATGTCAATGAAACAGGTAGAAATACAAATATCTGTGTGTGTGTGTGAGTCCTGAAGGCAGATATTGGTGGGAGAGTCGATGCTTTATTCATGCCACTCTTACAAGAAGCAGATTGTTCTTTGATGAATAAAACAAAACAATGCTCCTTTCTCCAGCTTCACACACACACACACACACACACACACACACACACACACACACGCCTGGCGGCAGCAGCAGAAGACAAGCACTGGAAACATAAGAATGACACGTAAAACCTACAAAAACACACAGAGACATGAAAACACACACACGTATGCCTGAAGAAGTGTTAAAGACGAATACTTCATATTTCCGTAAGACAGCAGAGAAGAGGGGCTATCGGTCAGTCTCCCCCAGGGCAGCTGTGGCTACCTGGTAGCCTGCCACCGTCAGCATGTGAATCTCCATGTGAATGTAGTGTGAAGTGCTTTGGAGTCCTCTGGGCTTGATAAAGTGCTCTACAGGTCGGCCCAGCTCAGTTTCTGTTTCTGGTCGTTTTACATCACATTTCCTGTGGTATTTACAGCCATCAGGTCAGAACAGGTGGTGCCTAGATTCTGCTCTGTTTCAGTTTTATTAGCCACATTAGTCAGCAGTTAGCTTAGCATTTCTTTTTATTTTGGTCTATAGGTTTTTTTAAACCTTGAAAACTTTTATCTGCGTTGAAGATTTTTTTATCGACTGTTACGAAATATTCAATCAGTTAGGTGTTTATATTCATGCTCTTATTTTGAAGTGGGTGAATACTCCGTAGCCTTCCTGTTTCCTCTCCTCATATTCTCTCTCTTTTTTCCCTGATAATGTTTTTTTAAACAAGACACACCTAGGAACAAGATAAAACATGTAGAGAAAAATACACAATCTTAAATACAACATCTAAAGTTATTACAGTACATGTAAATGATATCAAAATTAAATCAGTGTTCAAGGGTTGTATTCTTTCAAGGACAAAAAAAATATTAAATTGGCACTTTATAGCTTTAGCATTACGGTGGATCCAGGTGAACACACAGGCTAAACAACTGAAAAAACTCTTGCAGATGCATGTAATCTCTTTTCCATGTGAGTGGGACTCATGGAAACATGGAGTTTAGCTTCTGCTAAATACCATGTTGGCATAGCGCTTCAGCGTTAGTGGAGCTAATGTTTAGGATTAGTGTTTTAAGTTAGAGATGTGCCTGTTTTCCACTTAAATCATAAATATTTGGAATTATGTACAAGAAAATTATCTAATTTCATTAAAGAAGTTAGTAAAGACATAAAAGTGTTTAGTTTAAATCAGAGCATCTTAAATGGCAGAGATCTCCACACCCTGAAGATAAACCTTGTGCCCACTGACCCTAACAGCTTTGCACGGATAGTGACATGCCTGGCTGACAGTGGAGTAAATCAGCCCAGCTCTGTGTTTCTCCAGAAAAGGCAGTAAATGTGCTCTGACAGTCACTTGAAGCGCACTCGGGTCCCTCTGACAACGTTACAGCTCCTCTAAACACTCCTGCTGTCTGTGTAGCAGCCGAAACAACCACGGTACCGTTAGCATCACTGACTGTTGGGTCGGACCGTTACCAGGTCTGCAGTTGCCATCAAAGAAGACACATTTATAATGGTTTCAAGAGCATCATTTTGGAAAAAAACAAGAATAACGATTAAAAAAATGACACACTGTTACAGAAGAGAATTAAACGGCACAAAGGGACAGCATGTACAAACCGAGACTTGGATTTACTTGACACAAAAGCAGGATTTTGTCTGACATATTTAGAAATTCAACTGCAACATAAAATCAAGAGACGTGGTGCGGTGGCGCAGAGGGTTAGCATGCTTCACGCTTGGATTGGAGGCCTCAGACCTCGATGCAGACGTCGCGGGTTCGACTCCTGGTCCTGGCGACCTTTGCTGCATGTCTGCCCCTCTTTACTGATTCACTTAGTAATCATTCATAAATGTGAAAGGTTACGCATTCACACCTCCACAAAATATTTGTATTTGCAAAGAAAAATAGTGCAGAGCATCAATGGTTTAGCAAATATCTACTAAAGGAAAATTGCATAAACACACATCTAGTTAATGGTTTAGAATAGAGAAGATCCTGCAAACTTGATCTGCAACACATTTCTTAACAACATATTGATTCAATCTTTTTGTCAGGCTAATGGTTTGAACAGCAACAAAAATGTCATTTCAAGCTTTTAAAATTTTAAGATATTCTCACTAACTTATTTCAAGAAAACATTTCATACATTTGAGTAAAAATCTTCAGAGAGATGACTGCCCAAAAAATACCCAGAAAAATTTTTTATTCAATTAGAGAAAATCGTTTAAAGCAACACTGATCAAAAATGACATTAAAAAGCAAAGTCGAGTTGCTTCTGCTTTAATTCATTCCCATCTCAGTGTGATCCGTGGCTAATTTCAGACATGCTAACTTGATTAACACATGAATGTTTAACTGCGCTCTGTGCAGCTCATGGTGGGCCACAAAGTTTAATTTGCAAGCTGGTGATTCTTCAGCTCACTGCAGACTGTCATGATCCTCACTGTTCCTGTCAAGCCTCATGTTGCTCCACCGCTCTGCCCCTCCCACCTCTGCTGTCTACTGATTGCTGATTGATGTCACCTGCCCCACCGCCTATATTAACTCCTGCTTTGAACTTTCACGTCCGTGTCTGTGATCATGTACTTGACCTGTTTTCTGCCTCCCAGCCTCCTGATAATGTTCTGGGGACTGAAGATGCAACATTTGTTACAGTTTCAGCTGGTTTGGTTGCATTGTGTTAAACAAACCAAACCCTTTGTAAAATCTGTTCCCTCCTCCTCACCTGTGGTGAAGCTACACCTAGAACCGCTAAAAGAAGCAACGCAAACATCTCAGGAGAAGACGATGGATGCAACTCCCTGCTTTACAAAACCTAAAGAGAAACTGAGCAGCATCAGATTTTAGCATTTGCAGGATTCCTCTTATGTCTTTGGTAAAAGACCTTGAGCTATTTCTTCTCATATCGGTTTGTTTTGGTTACCCAGAATGCTATAGTCTGCTTCCTGCTCCGGTTCACTTAGCATTCATATGCATTCGAACCGCACCAGAGTTCACTCCAAAAAACCCCAAAGAAACAAGGTTTTTAGACAGACCTGAATTTACTTTCTTGGTCCACTTCAAAGTTTGATTGCGCATTCACACCTCCACAAACAAACCAGACAATGAAACTAAAGTTTGATCGTCTGTCCAATCTATACTCACCTTGCTACTGCAGCTTTTGAACTCCGTGACATGATCATCGCCCCCCATTTCCAGCATAATAAGATTGCTCTCTCTGCGGTCCTCTGACTGAAACAATCCCTGAGAAAAAGACACTCTCCATTGTTCTTCTGTTACATAATAAACTATTCCAGCCTGTCAAAGTCTCAATGTGAGAAAAGCATCACTCTAGAAAGCACCTGTGTCGGTTTACTCTTCAATTCCTGATTATTGAGTACTTCCTGTTTACATTGCCTGTCACTCAATTAACTCTCCTTCACAAAGTTATTCTGAAGACAGAATTGTTGTCGATCTTCCACATTCTGAAATTAGTCTATAAAACTTGTTTAACCTTTCCTGGGTTGTGGTTGTTGTTTTTGGTCCAAATCATGCTTTTTCCCTTACATAAGATGGTTAAGGCCCAACTGACTGCACAAAATAAAACTACTGTGAGAAGAAACACCAAGAGTCTAAGACGGGCCTTTTAAAGAGCCAATGTGACAAGATGTTAATACTTTTAGAGTGATCTCTATTTGGTTAGCATAATTACACTCAAACAATCAAAAGGTGTTGGAAAGAAAAGGTCTTAACTGCATCCAGTTTGTTTTCCTTTTCTGTCCTGACAGCAAGGTAAATATAAAAAGATCTTAAGAATTCAAAACATTAAATTGGTTCTTTTCTGTTTTCTATCTGTAGATAGTTATTTTTTCCTCTCACTTCCTGTTTCACCAGGCCTCTCAGCTTCAGCATCACTGGTTTCACTGGCCTGGATGATCGCCTCCTACCAGAAGGTTCTCCGGGACTCTCGTGACGACAAGCTGCCCATGTCCTACAAGGCCGTGATCGCCCAGATGCTGTGGCACTTCTTCACCATCGGGGCGAGGACCGTGGCTTTCGCCCTTTTTGCCTCTGTCTTCCAGCTCTACTTTGGTATTTTCATCGTCAGCCATTGGTGAGTAATCTTTGATCAAACTCAAAATGTTTGCATTATCAGTTCTTATTACGGTGATTTGAATTAATGAACATACATGTGAAAAAAATAAATAAATGATTAAATGTGATTTTACCTCTGATGATGTGTTTTAGGTGTGTGATGACCTTCTGGATTATCCAGGGTGAGACTGACTTCTGCATGTCCAAGTGGGAAGAAATCATCTACAACATGGTCGTGGGTATCATTTACATCTTTTGCTGGTTCAACGTCAAGGAAGGGCCCAGTCGCTTCCGTATGGCTCTGTACTACTCCGTGACTCTGGCTGAGAATGTGGCGCTGACCGCTGCCTGGTATACCTACCGTGGCCCCCAAACAAGTGACTCATCCGCCCTGGTCGTGGTGTGCCTGGTGGCCTGCAGCTTTGCCCTGGGAACCTTCTTCATGCTGGTATATTACTGCTGGCTGCACCCGGACGGGCCTGTTCTGGGCTCCCAGTGGGGAGGATGCGTCGATGAGGGTGTGGTAGGAACAGGGGGTATGGTGGGAGTTATTGATGCTTGCCTTACTCCATCCCAAGGGTCCCAAACGGATATGGTCATTACTAGTCCTCCACGGACTTTGCCCAGGACTAAAGATAAAGATTTGGGGGAGCCAGTTCCTGGGGAACGGGACAGAGACAAGGACAGCTGCCTGCCGGTCTTCCAGGTGCGCCCCTCCCCTTCCTCTTCTCCCGCTCTGCTTCACAGGACCTCCTCCACATCCCGTGCACAAGAGGGTCCTGTGATCAGGATTGACCTCCCAAGAAAGCGATACCCAGCCTGGGACGCACACTTTATCGACCGCCGCCTCCGCAAGACCATCCTGCTTCTGGAGACCACCTCGGCCATGAGTCCACGGATACAGTACAGGAGCAGCTTGATGGGCAGCAAAGAGGTGTTAGAATATGAGACAACTGTTTAAGCCAACAGGGGCTGTTAAACTACAAAGTGCAGTCTGGGTCCAAGGCTCAGCCCGGAATCAGTCTTCAACCCAGGAATACCTGTGCCGGGAGTAGCATGAAAAGAAGACGGCGTGTCGGGCGACTCTCATTGAGAAAACAGGTTGTCAAACTGCGATTGTGAAACGTGAACCTCAATGTGGGACCAAAGCTGTTGAAGAACATATAGCAAGAATTACCTGTTGGAAGTTAATGGAGTATACTGAGCCAGGATTGTCTCATTTTCTAACACTTCAAACAAGAGGAATTTAATCTCACACCAGGGACCAGTAAGTGTTAGATTTTGTTTCAATCTGGACGGTGAGGACAACAAGTAAAAGGACACCAGAGAAATAAAGCTTGAGATAATTAAAAAAAACAGTCTGCCACATGAACTGAAGCCTCAGGCCATAGAGACAGAACAGAAATGTATGACATGTTGAAGAAACAGATTGTCAGAGTGTTCATGAGACATGCAATCATTTTGGATTTGGGCAAAATACATAAATCTATAGTCTATTGATTTGGCATTCACAGATGCTGAGTGATTATCTACAACCAAATTCATCCCAGGTTTAGCCAAGATAAACAGGCACCTCTTATCAATCAGTCACTTCGGCATGCTTCACAGAATTACAATGACTTGCAAGAATACACACAGACGAGTCCGAGTCGATTTGTTGCAAGGGTTGCTTTGTTCTTTCCATCCAGTCATGTCCCCAAAAGGTTGCATGCGCCTCACAAATCTTTGGTAATTGTGCTCTTTAAACATTTTGTCAGAGGCGTCTGAAGGAAAAAGCTGCTCGAATTCCCCAGCAGGGCCTTGGCTTTCATCTGATGATGGATCGTAACTCAGTCTAAGCTCAGATGGTCCATGAAACGTAGGCCTGCAATACAACTGATACCAATTCACCCATCCATTTGTGCCACAACTGCAGCCATAGCACAAGTCTCGCTGTTTACATCCTAGCTGCACTGTCGACCCCGACCCAACGGACTTGCTTGGAAAGCTGAACGAGGATCAAACGGCTACCAACGTATGGCATGCTGTAAATCGCCAGAAACAGGTCTGTGATGTACAGTTGAATAAATGCAGATGTCCAATACTGTATAAGATGTTAAAATAAGCTGTAGTTAGGTGATGAATGCCTTTTGTGAGTAAGGAAGCTTCATTTACTCGTAAGAGTCTAAATGTTGTCCAAAGTGGTTCACTTTTTTCTAAAAATCATATTATGTAGGATATGGAGGATATCACGGTCTATTTCAGTATACTAGGAACTGGTTTTTATGGGTTTGATTTTGAGGGAAAAAATAATAAAAAGAAATATACCACTTGTTTAAAGTTAACCGTCAAGACAAAGAGTACAGATATGTTTTTGCAAACTAGATAGTTGCAATAGTTGATGTCTTTTGTAACAAAAAGGATATACCCACCATCTACGTTCTTTTGTTGGGCTTGGTTTCTTTGGAGGACTATCATGTTTTAAGATTAAGTAGGTTCTGTCTCTCCCTTCAGGCAGAGAGAGCATTAACTATACAAACAATGCTTGGTGGACTTGGTCACTGAATCAAGAAGTTAAACAGAAGTTGCTTTAAATGCATAACTTTGGGCAGAAGTTTACTTTGCCATTATTAGGCATGGGCCGGTATGAGAAACTCACAACTTTGATTAAAAATACTTGATTTAATTGCTTTTATTGAAAATAAAAACTCAGCAATTGTTCAGAAAGTTATATTGTGTTACGAAAATGTTGTTCATTCTGCCCATGGAACCACAGACCAGATCTTTAACCATCAGTGTTGTTAGGTCATATGAGTTTGCTTGTCTAGTTCACATGCATCTGTAGAAAACCTATGAGGTATTTTGTGAGGGAGTATGAGTCGCCTGATATGCTTTGAAGGGCTATCTGGTTATTTTATACCAAAAACAATGCTCTGTCCACATGTTTAGCACAAAAATAAAAATTCTTATGGACTCCACTCTTTGAGCGAAGTCCTTGGCCCCTTTGGACGTTTCCCAAGCATGCACAACTGGAAGGAGACCCCAGTGCAGACTTAGAAGCACAGAGATGATTGGATATATTTCCAAACCACCAAATTTGTCGAAATAGTACAGTGTCTTTCTTTCAGTCAGCTCAGCAACAAGAAGAGGAAGAGGCAGCACTCCAGCTCATTCATACGGTTAGATCAAACTCACCTTATTCCAGTGAATTTTGTGGCAGCCCAGTAAAATGACTTTAAACTGTGGGAACTTTTTTGTAGCTTAAAAACCCTGGTATGCTGTGATACTGGTAACCGGCCCATGCCCGATCAATTTAGACTCCATACACTAAGGCAACAATCAATAGTGATCAGGCAATTCAGGTCTGATCCTTCTGGATGTGGGCATTTTTTGGCAGTATGTCAGTTATTGAATGAACATTGGATGTTGCTCTTTCTTTTAATTTTGTGTATGAAAAAAAGGGAGCAGTGATGACAGAAGGAAAGTGACATTGATCCTCTATCAATGTGGATACATTGTTGAGTTTTCAACGGATCAACAACCAGCAGCATTTAGATTTTTTCAATACTTTCATGAGACATTTTTCCAAGTTGGTTTAACTGGAGGCTTGTTGAAGATGAAGATGGATCCTCAACATATCACATTTTTCTTTCAGCTGATAACCAAAGTCAGCAAAAACCTGGTTGGAAACCGTTGGATTGCTTCTGGTAACTAGGATGCAGCTCCAGAGGTCAAAGTTTAGCCACATCATTAACAGGGTGTGGCTAAATGTCACTATCTGTTAGAGGATGAAAGATCTTGCATGGTCAGCAACAGCTTCACTTTCATCTTCATCAAACAATTTTTCCCCAACAGCCTCTTTGAACTTAATCTTTTTCTGAAGCCGTTGGATGCGGTTTCCATCTTTAAGTTGGTCTGACTTGGTAAAAAGTGGAGGTCTCTGTCTGTCTCTTTGAGAAAAACTTACAGCAATGTAGTGATTATATGTAAAGTGGTAACATTTACTCAAAGGTGGGTGTTTTTTCTTATAAAAATACTATCCTTGTGCATGCCATCAGTTAAACGGGCTTTTTCAGCTTTGTTGCTGTAACATCAAGATGTTGAGGCTCAGTAAGAAAGCAGGCGATCCCAATCCATAGCTCCTTGATACAGGTACCAATGAACACCATAACACAGCTATGAAGATTCTCATCATATTATAAGACAAGAAGTCTGGAGGAGATATCTGTCGCTGCCTCTTTGAATGAACAAAACCGTTTATTGCTTACAAAGAACGCAGAGAAATGTCAAAAAAGACTCAAATGCCGGTACATTGTGACCCTGAGAGCATCTTCTGTTCTTGCTTTATAATGTCCTCAGTCGTCGTCCGTTGAGTGTTTTGCTGATGATGCATACTCACTCCACTGTATCCTGATGAGTTCAAAGATTGCTTCATTGACTGTTCAGTGGAACATAAAGAAAACCCAGTCTGTATTATTAAAAGCCAGCAGGATACAGGTGCTCTGACTCTTACATAATGCCCTCCACACTTACTGGCTCACTGGTAAAGATGCGTAAAGAAGTCTTAACTTTCCATTGAAGCTGCCTAATTTTACTTCCAGGTCTCTGCACTCAAAGTCTTCTCCTTTAATGTTTCAGAAGGTTGGAGCGTGCAGAGAGAGGGATCTTTAACGGTTTCATGCAGACTTCAGCCCACAAGGTTATTTACAAGGTTTGGATCTGGGGACTGAGAGCGAATAGAAAAGGATTTTAAGCCTTGAGAACCCTTATATTGATTTGCCTTCTGCATCAGTATCCAAGTGCTCAACATGCCAATCAATCTTCCAATATTCTTCCAATATTCTAAGATATTTGGGAGAGAAACTGGATCGCAGCATTACAGGTCAGTCACCATAATTAACAATGAACATTGGGAGGTTATTAATTTCTTGTGTTACACCTGATATACCTGGACTGTTGCTGAAAAGCTCAATCTCATAAAAGTTTATGTCCGAGCAGGGCATTTGTTTCTGGAAGCCATTTTCTTACTTGTCTGTTTTGTTGGTCATTAAAGCCTATAAGACACATTGGTCAACTTCAAAAGTGTTATTTTAAAGAGATTTTAAGTGTGGCCATTATAAAATAGGAAATAACATTCTTTTTTATTATTTTTTTTATTTTGGTGTTTATTTATTTATCCCCTCACTTTGCTACAATAAAATATTTATCTTAAGACTTTGGACACATGTCCACCAATAAGTGGGAAGGGCATCGACCACTGTCCAGATCATTCAGGAAGGCAAATAAAAGCAAACGGCAGCAGTTTGATGATGCAGACAGTGTCCTACCTGAACCCAGAGACGTCAGTCCACTGGTGATACACACAGAGGTGTTAATGGTGCTGAAAACAATGACTTTTTGTTACAAATGATCATGACCTGACAGGCTAATGTACGGCTGGTGCATACATAAACCACCCAGTCACAGGCCAAGGTACACTTTGCTTTCTCTGATTGGGTCATGCAGCAGATTTTCTGTCGTTAAGCTAAGATAACAGTTGATAGTAATGTGCTGATTATATATTGACTTGAACAAGAACATGTTTTAAATGTTGTCGAGTCCAAAAGCTCAAATCATCTTTTGTTAATTAATGCAAGGAGTTTATGTTGATTTATTTTTGTATTTGTTTTATATCTATTTATCTATTGTTTATTCACTTGGTGGCCATGTCTTTGGTATGACTCTTTTATTAAGATGTAAAATATGAAAATAGTTTGTTTTTTTTACTCATTCTATATTTCTGTAAATATCAGAGTGATACTATTCTAGGATGTGCGTGTACAAGTATGTGTGCTTTGGTATGTAAGTATGTTGTGTATGTAAAGTATGTGTGTACTGTAAGGATGTGCTCTCAGTTTCATCTTCTACTTTGTTTTTGATAATGCCGCTTAAACATCCTTTGAGTGAGCAAGCAGAAAAATAAACCTGTGGTGAAAATTATCTATGACGATGTTAAAAAAAAAAAAAAAAGAAAAGAAGAAAAACAAAGAACTCAACAAGCTGTGCTGATTACTGTAGGTGAGAAAAATACTGTAGTAAACATGGCTCAACAGCCATCAGAATAAACTCAACAGGCCTGTGTTTGTGTCTTCTTTGATCCCTGACAGCTGGAAGTCGGTGAGTTATATAACTTCTACTTTTTTCACAAATTAATGTGTTATTTTTCTTTCTAAATATGGATTTTTATTGTTTAGGAAAAATCTGCGTGTTTTTTGAGTTTGTGGAGAACTTCTTATAGTGCAGATCTCAGAAGAGTCAACCATGACATGCATCAAAGTAGACGGTAAAACCAAAAGGTAATTCTACTGGGATTTGTTACAAGTTTTTAGAAATGTATGTGACCTACTTGTTAATCTCTGGTACAAACAAAAAAATAAATACAACAAAAATTCACAGAGCGGGTTCTATCTATTAGAAGAAGCAGTGCTGAAATGTATAAATTGGTTCTTTATGGTGATATCTTTATGTTTCTGTGCAAACTGGGACATTTTTGTGTGAATTTGTTTTATTCTTCAAAATTTGCAACCAAAGTTTTCACACTAAAGACCCCAAAAATCCCCAAAAGTTGCTAAATATGGAGATGAAGTCATTAAGGTGGCAATAGAGAGCCCTGCTTAAGCCCATCAATTGGTGAAAAATGAAAGCGCTCAAAAGATAAATAAACTCAGATTCTAGTTGCCTAGGTAACCAGATGATCATTAAGCTATTAGCTCACTAGATGCTAGCGAGCGGTTGCCTTGACATTAGGTGCAGAAAGATGCTGAGGCTATTTGTCTGAGACTCCTTTGGCTCCATCAGCAGAATTTCTTTTCGTTTTCTCGACATTGTAGCCCAAGTTAACCTTCATCACAGTGCTGCCCTCTTTTGGCCAAACTTGTTTACTGAAGCAACAGATTCATGGTTTCCATAAGGTCTGAATCTGAAGAAGGTTACGTCAAACTTCCAGACGCTGCAGCAACTGCTACTTATAAATGCTTTTGTCTTATGTTGTAATAAGAGTAGAATAATTGTACCCTGTAGGGATTTTAAAAATGCTGCACACAGAGAGTTAGGCAGGTATTTCTGTAATCTGCATCATCTCCTGTTTGGCTTCAGGTAGCAAATTGTTTACATCACGAGTGCCTTCACAATGTATTTGCGCAGCATTTTCTCTGAAATAATGAGAGCGAATGTTAAGAGCCTGAAATCATCCCAACGGGCACAAGCTATCAAACACGCAGTATTGGGTGCAGTTCTGTTTATTTTCTTGTTTTCATTGTTCAACCCAAGGCAGCTGTTTGCACCCATACCAGATAAATGCAAAAGGCTTTAAAACAAACTCTGCTCCTATTGCTACAGTCTCACATTACACTGCAAATAAAAAAACAACATTTATTTTTATATATATTTGTTCTTGGAAAGGAAACTTTGTTTGATCAAAGCTGCATATGCTGCAGTACGTAACTTTTATAAAAATAAATTTTTTGCATATTTGTTGAAACTGTCAAGATGTTGTGGCAGTACGATATGAGACAAAATATAGTCTGTGAAAAACTGAGCTCCTCTGCCTTTTCCCAGTGCTATCCAGAAATAACCAATTAGATCCAGGAGGAGGGTGTGAAGTGCACAATTCAGAGACTGAGGTCCAGACAAAAGTCAGGGGGCAAAAACAATCTTTACTACATCTGCAGACAAAGAGCAAAAATCCACTGCATTAGGCGAAAATCATTCTGCTCTAACGAACTCAGAGTTGCTTTATTCACGTCTCTCTGCTAACAGAGGCGGAGACTCAATCTTCTAAGACCAAACAAAAGAAACAAAGGAGAACAGACGGAGCAGTTCAACCTTGTACGTTCATTCACTATCATACGGGGTGCAAAAACTAAACACTCTGTCTCCATGCAGGGAAGGCTACGGAAAAACAGCAAGTTCCCAGACACATCTTGTTCAATTAGTTTGTACACCCTCTCTGCAGCTGCACGAAAAAACATCTTGACTATGCTACACGGTATGATGCAAATAAAAGATTTTCTCTTGAAAGAAAAATCTACTTTACAAGGGTCTGAGTGTTGTCAATCACCTATCGTGTGGCGGTGCTTATCCCTCTTACAAAGAGCTTTGGAAGGAAACTGGTACATCCTGTCATGAATGCTAAATATAGTTAGCATAGGCACTCCTGCCTTCTCACACATCTATTTTTCTAAAATGCCCCCAAAAAATGCTCAATTTTGAGAATCTACATCCACAACAACATTATAGGAATAAACCTGAGAGAAATGCATTCAAAGTTTTTGACTAATCTCTTACCAATCTCCTAAAATTAAGAAAATAGGAACCAACTTCTTTGTGCATCCTATTTTTAATCTACTTGATACTTAATGACAAGTAGATTTCTTCCAATTGTCAATGTAATGCACATTATACGTATACATATTGCACATCTGTTTTCATAATCAGTAAAAATACTGATCGCTAGACCTCCTTCTGAGTAAGTAAGCAATATCAGAGTGTTTTGGAAAGGATTCACTGAATTTATTAATCTGTTTGTTGTAATGACCTAATGTCAAACGTGGGATGAAAAGCAAAGTCTTTTTGTAACTAAAATCCCATAAACAGGCCTTTGAAAATCACCTTAAGCTGT